GAAAACTCTGCCGCAGGAACGGCAGGGTAAGCCTCGAGGTGTGTAAGTATGTCGCGCATTTTCTCAGCCAGGTGATTTATCTCCATTGACACTGTTGACTGGAAGTTGTGCTGACGGGGATTTAAGTCCTGGACCCCTTGATTTATTGCTGTCAGCTGTCCCTCATGTTGATGAAGGAGTGTTCCTTGCGCCTGCAAGGCCGTCTTTAACGCGGTGGAATCGGCTGAGTCCATCTTGTAAAGTCGGTTCGTTCTGACACAAAGGACTCACAAGAACTCAGATGCACGATTCGGTTGACTTCCAAAAATATCTTTTCAAAAACATAAGATCACTAGGTTCTACTAGGATTCTCACAAGATCTCTAGGTTGAACTAGGTTACTAGGTTCTACTAGGATTCTCACAAGATCTCTAGGTTCTACTAGGTTGCTCAACAGATCACTAATGTTACAGACATGGACTCGACGTGGAGACAAGACGAACCGACAAAAGACAAAAGGAGAGCAGGGCTATAAATACACACAACGGTTAATGGGGCACAGGTGAAAACAATCAGGGGCGTGGCTGGTGATGATGAGCACATGAGACACACAAGCTGGCAGGTGACACACAACGACATGAAGTGTAGACACCTGAAAAGAGAGGGTAGAGTCAATAACAAAATAAAATGCAAGGCCACAATAATAAACACAAAACAATAAACTAAAAGAACTCTAACGCTGAAACCTTACAGTACCCCCCCTCTTACGGACAGCTCCAGACGTCCCTGAAGCCTGAGACTGTTGTCTGTCAAAATCCGATATTAGAGTCTTGTCCACAATGAAGCTGCCTGGGATCCAGCACCTCTCCTCTAATCCATACCCTACCCAGTCGACCAGGAACTGTCTACCTCTGCCCCTCTTCCTTTCGGACAGTATTTTATCCACAGTGTACACTTGACCTCCGTCGACGATCCGGGGAGGTGGAGGGGGCGTGGAGGCAGGGACCAGTCTGCTCTCTTTAACCGGTTTCAGCTTACTGACATGAAACGTGGGGTGGACCTTGATGGACCTTGGGAGACATAAACGGACAGCAACAGGGTTAACCACTTTGGCTATGGGAAAAGGACCAACGAACCGGGGAGCCAGCTTCCTGGAGGCGACATGGAGAGGAAGATCCTTGGTAGATAACCACACTCGTTGTCCGGCCTGGTATTTAGGGGATGGACGTCGTTTCGGGTCGGCCAATCCCTTCATGCGAATGCAACTTCCTCTGCAACATATGGCGAACTACCGCCCAGACCCGACGGCAGCAGCGAACCAGAGCATGGGCTGATGGTACGGTGACCTCCTTCTCGAGCTCCGGAAACAATGGAGGTTGGTATCCATGGACACATTTAAACGGAGAGATACCGGTGGCTGATGTGGGTAACGTGTTGTGCGCATACTCAATCCAAATCAGACTTTTACTCCAGGTGGTAGGCTTCTCGGACACCAGGCATCTCAGACAGGTCTCCAAATCCTGATTCATCCTCTCCGCTTGTCCATTCGACTGTGGGTGGTATCCGGAGGTCAGGCTTACAGTGGCTTGGATTAGGCGACAAAACTCCTTCCAAAAACGTGACACGAATTGTGGGCCTCGGTCTGAAACGACATCACTGGGAAAACCATGGATCCTGAACACATGGGACAACATGGCCTCTGCTGTTTCTTTGGCAGTAGGTAACTTTGACATGGCGATGAAGTGTACCATTTTAGAAAACCGATCAATCACAGTGAGTATTGTGGTATTACCTGCCGATGTTGGCAATCCTGTCACAAAGTCCAACGCAATATGAGACTGTGGGGAATGGGCAGAGGTTGGAGAAGACCTGCCGCAGCTTGACGAGAAGTTTTGTTCTTGGCACACACAGGGCACGCTGCCACATAGCTGGCCACCAGAATCTGTGTTTCACCATGAAGAGGGTCCTCTTATTTCCTGGATGACAGGTAAGTACAGACCAGGGTTTCCGTTAGCCGGTAATTACCGATTTTTAGCTGGTAAAATTTATTAAAACCGGTAAATTCAAAACCTGCCGGTCAAAATGTCTGGTAATAATTAGGGAGGCTCCGATAGATCGGCCGCCGGTCATTATCGGCAGATATTCACTCTTAATAGTTTGATCGGTGCTCTCTATAAAGGCCGATCAGGAGAGCTGGATCTGATCGATATGGACATAAACGCGAGTGAAGTATAACCGGACACGCGAGAGAGATCAGATCAGCTGCTGAGTCAGACCGAGACACACAGCTCTGCATAATCACCTGAAGCCCCGCCCTCTGTTTAGCGAGCTGCATGAGAAACTGACGGGCTGTCAGGAGAGAGAGGGAGGGAGAGGGGAAAAGAGAGGATCCGTTTCTCCCGTGTTATTATTCAAAGTTAATGTAAACTTTTGAATAATGTACGTTATCTACTACAAGTAGTTTGTTTGAATGTAATAATTATGTTGTGGAATCATTTATTGAAAAATGGAGCTGAATTTTTCGATCTGTTACGATTATAAACTGAAGCAATATAAAAATGAGCCCCGTGAACTGAGTTTTAAACTGAAGCATATCTGCTCATAGTCCGGTAATTACCTGCTAACGGAGACTCTGCTCCACAACTCTTATTATTATTATTGAAATATGACCGGTAAGTTTTAAATTTGTCCGGTAAAATAAATTCTGCCCGGATATTTGACCGCCGAGAAAAAATCCTAGCGGAAACCCTGGTACAGACGTATGGGCCCAATGAATCACTTGAGATCGAAGTTGCTCCGGCACAAACAAGCGATTCTGAGGACACCCTCTAGGGACAGGATTCCCGCTGTTTGCTTGTTTGACCTTGACTTCAATGGGCCAAGTCACACTCCCTATCACTCGGTCTGGCCGCAGAATGGGTTCTGGACTCTTGGGGACTGGCTCAGGATCATACATTCTGGAGAGTGCATCAGGCTTTCCGTTCTGTGAACCAGGTCGATATGACAGAGTGATACTAAATCGATTAAAGAATAAAGCCCACCTGGCCTGTCTAGAGTTCAAACGTTTGACCTTCCTGATGTATTGCAGGTTTTTGTGATCCGTCCAGACCAGGAAATCCTGCTCCGCTCCCTCCAACCAGTGCCGCCACTCCTCCAAAGCAATCTTCACAGCCAACAGTTCCCACGTCATAATTCCTCTCAGCAGATGACAGTTTTCGGGAGAGATAGGCACAAGGATGAAGCTTGTTGTCCGCCGCTGACCTCTGGGACAATATAGCCCCAACGCCATCGTTGGAGGTGTCTACCGCTATCACAAACTGTTGGCTGGTATCAGGTACAGTCAGGATGGGAGCTGTTGTGAACCTTTTCTTCAGTTTCTGGAAAGAGTCCTCTGCCTGTGAAGTCCACACAAACTGAACATGGGGAGAGGTAAGGGCATGGAGAGGAGAGGCAATGGCACTGAAATTGTGTATGAAACGTTTGTAAAAGTTAGCAAACCCCAACAATTGCTGAACTTGTTTTCTGGAACTTGACGTTGGCCAATTAGCCACGTCGCTGACCTTTGCTGGGTCCATTTCCATTTTGTTTGGGGAAATCACAAAGCCCAAAAATGACACTGAGTTGACATGAAACTCACATTTTTCGGCTTTTACAACAAAATTGTTCTCAAGGAGTCTCTCAAGAACAAGGTGAACATGGTTAACATGGGTTTTCTCATCAGGAGAAAAGATGAGAATATCATCGAGATACACACAACAGAATATATTCAGAAAATCTCTTAATATATCATTGATGAGTGTTTGGAAAACAGCAGGTGCATTAGAAAGTCCAAAAGGCATAACCAAATATTCGTAATGTCCTGTAGGTGTATTGAACCCTGTTTTCCACTCATCCCCCTCCCTGATGCACAGTAGGTGATATGCATTCCTTAAGTCTAACTTGGTGAACAACTTAGCTCCTTGTAATAGTTCAAATGCAGTAGAGATGAGTGGAAGGGGATATCTGTTCTTTATCGTGATCTGATTTAGTGGACTGTAATCAATACAGGGCCTTAATGAACCGTCCTTTTTCCCCACAAAAAAGAAACCTGCTGCTGCCAGCTTTGAGTGATGATCCGATATACTCTTCCATGGCCTCCCTTTCTGGACCAGAGAGAGAGTACAACCGGCCTTTGGGGATAGTAGAGCCCGAGAGACGGTCTATGGGGCAATCATACGGTCTATGGGGAGGCAAGGAAGTAGCTCGTGTTTTGTTAAACACCTCCTTAATGTCAAGATAACACTCAGGCACTTTGGACAAGTCAGGAAAGTCAGAATGTTTCGAAGAAGTGACACTGTCACTACCTGGCGCCTGTTTAAAGTCCCTAGATCTGTGGCGTCCACTCAAAACTGTATAAGAGGCTAAACATGAACAAGAGCAATCACTCCCCCACCCCTTAACCTTTCCTGTATGCCAATCAACATGAGGGTTATGTTTAACAAGCCAAGGGTAACCCAAAATGAGAGGATGTTGCGCAGAGTTAAATAAATGAAAACTAATCTGCTCACGGTGCTCCTGATCTATGACAATAACTATGGGCTCAGTGCGATGTGTGACTGTACATAAAAGGCGGCCGTCCAAAGCACTAGCCTCTAATGGCTGATCTAGAAGGACAATGTTTAAGTTCAAACTTTTAGCCAACTCCCAGTCTAACAAGCTCTCATCAGCCCCTGAATCAATTAATGCATCCTGAGTCACAGTTGTATCATTAAGTTTCATTTGTACCTGAATCAATTTTCTCGAGGGAGGGTCGAAAGAAGTCACTCGGCTCACCAGCGTCCCTCTTCCTGCTGATGAGCCTGATCTTTTGCCGAACAGGCTGCCAGAACATGGCCCTGCTGGCCGCAGTAGAAGCACCGCCTCTCCCGTAGACGGCGCTGACGCTCCTCCAGGGTGAGTTTGGCTCTTCCGAGCTGCATCTGTTCCTCCGCGGCGGCAGGGGGTGCTGGTCGTTCTGGAGACGAAGTCCGGGTATTTCTCCGCCAAGCGTAGTGCTGCCTCGGTAACTCCCGTCTGAACAGTGGAGTGGATCCTGCATTCTCTCCTTTCTCCCGGCGTCTCTCTGCTAGGCGTTGGTCCACCCGGATAGCCATGGCGATGAGAGAGTCCAAATCTTCAGGCAGCTCTAATGGAGCTAACTGATCCTTTATGGGATCCGCTAACCCATGCAGAAACGCATCAAAAAGAGCCGCTGAGTTCCAACCACTCTCCGCTGCCAGGGTCCGGAATTCGATAGCGTAATCCGCCACTCTCCTCTGCCGTTGTTTGATGTTCACCAGGGCTCTCGCTGACTCTCTTCCGGGTGATGTCTGGTCAAAAATCTTGTTCATAGTATCCATGAATAGCCTTAAAGACTGGCAAACAGGCGAGTCTCGGGGCCATTCTGCTGTTGCCCAGGCTCCCGCTCTACCCGTCAAGTGAGACACTATGAAAGCAACCTTAGCTTGATCTGTGGGAAATGCTGCGGGCTGGTGTTTGAAATGGAGATCGCACTGTACCAGGAATGGACGACAGTTTCCAGAATCCCCGGAGAACTTCTCTGGCGAAGCGAGGCGGAGTGTAGACGATGGCATGGGTACTTGAACTGGGATATCAGCAAACCCGACCTCCGCTGGACCGGAAAACTCTGCCGCAGGAACGGCAGGGTAAGCCTCGAGGTGTGTAAGTATGTCGCGCATTTTCTCAGCCAGGTGATTTATCTCTATTGACACTGTTGACTGGAAGTTGTGCTGACGGGGATTTAAGTCCTGGACCCCTTGATTTATTGCTGTCAGCTGTCCCTCATGTTGATGAAGGAGTGTTCCTTGCGCCTGCAAGGCCGTCTTTAACGCGGTGGAATCGGCTGAGTCCATCTTGTAAAGTCGGTTCGTTCTGACACAAAGGACTCACAAGAACTCAGATGCACGATTCGGTTGACTTCCAAAAATATCTTTTCAAAAACATAAGATCACTAGGTTCTACTAGGATTCTCACAAGATCTCTAGGTTGAACTAGGTTACTACGTTCTACTAGGATTCTCACAAGATCTCTAGGTTCTACTAGGTTGCTCAACAGATCACTAATGTTTACAGACATGGACTCGACGTGGAGACAAGACGAACCGACAAAAGACAAAAGGAGAGCAGGGCTATAAATACACACAACGGTTAATGGGGCACAGGTGAAAACAATCAGGGGCGGGGCTGGTGATGATGAGCACATGAGACACACAAGCTAGCAGGTGACACACAACGACATGAAGTCTAGACACCTGGGGCCTGTACTACGAAGCTGGTTCAACCTATCCTGGATATGTTTTGAGTTATCCGGTTGACTTAATCCAAAACAAAGCAGCTCTCGCTAAACTGTCCTACAACGCTGGCTATCAACTCGTTCGCTCAAGCCAGCCGTGTCCTATCTAGTTAGGTGCGCGTTCACATAAAAGGGGTGGTATCTGGAGCATTCGACCAATCACAAACATGAAGAAGCGTACTGACAGCGCAGCGTCATACTTCCTGAATGAAAAGTCAACTATAATATTAGACATATGAAGAAGTTAAACTTTAAACATCCATGACTTAAACACTTTATCCAGGATCAAAGCCACATAGCTGCACCTGCAAGGTGAATACAGCTGGTAAAAGAACAAGTGTTTGAATGCGTACATTAACAGGTTTATGATATCACTGCCCCGTCCAAGACATGAGTGGATCTGACTTTAATTACATTTGACTCGAGTGTTTCGTCAACTTAATGTGTTGCTTAAAATAATACTTCTGCATACAGTATGTGACACTGTGAAAGTTGCACAGCCAGATACAGCTCGGCTGACTCAGATAAGGAAATATATGATACATTATGATGTGATATGATGTGATATGAATGATAATGGGACACATCGACGTCTGCACTCACAGTGCCGCGGACTGTAGGCTACGTAATGTTACTTTGATCTGGTTACTTATGTTGTGGCAGATATTTAATTAAGCTTTCTTAACATAATAGTATAATGATAGTTATAATAGTCTGATTGCTCTGAACATGGGAGGTGATATTCTATTCATTTTCACGTTCACACAGTCGGTGATTTTGTCCGGCCGTCTTTCCTGCAACCGCAGTTTAAACTGTATTTCCTCCGCACACTGAGCTCTGATTGGTCAGCAGGCGTGGTGCTTTCGCTGAGTTGATCTCTTATCCTGGAACATATCCTGCTTCGGAGCACAGACTAGGTTCCAGGATAAGTCACCATGGAGATCTAGCCCACTACCGGAAATCCCAGAAGTTATCTTGCTAAACGAAAATCCTGCTTCCTAGTATACCCCCCAGGTTAGCCGCACAGCATAAGTTACCATGGAGATCTAGCCTGCTAAAAAGAGAACCAGCTTCGTAGGACCGGAAACCCCGAGTTTTCCCTGAAGTTAGCCGGCAAAGCGAAAATCCTGCTTCGTAGTATACCCCCCTGAAAAGAGAGGGTAGAGTCAATAACAAAATAAAATGCAAGGCCACAATAATAACCACAAAACAATAAACTAAAAGAACTCTAACGCTGAAACCTTACAAGCACCAACTATCAAATATCTCTCCTGATTGTTGGCACTTACTCAGGTGTAACTAAAGTCTGCTTTAAGGGTTGTTTATATTTCACATCATTAATCAGAATCTGCAAAGTAACTAAAATAAATGTAGTGGAGTAAAAATACCAGGTTAACCTCTGAATTGTAGTGGAGTAGAATTACAAAGTAACAATGAGCTGTCATGTGGGTATATATCAAGGCCGTATTCATGGAGTCAACATGGGGGGGGACCAAAAATTCAATACAAATTTGAATACTAATTTCCTGCCATTCTAAAGGAAAATACATAAAAAATCACTAACACATTGGATACTTTAAAACCCCCTGCCCGTGGGGGCAAAACACAACAATAGTCACGAAACTGTGTCTCAGGCATGGGTGTAGGAAGCATCCTCAATGTGGGTGGGACAATTTGACGGGGGGTGTGGGCGGGCGGGGAACCTAACCTCCTCTAGGGGGGTCCGGGGGCATGCTCCCCCGGGAAGATTTGTTTTTAAATGGTGAAGTTAAAAGCATCAATCTGGTGCACTTTGAGAGCAACATTAGGGACTAAATCTATGGATACATCTCAACAACACCCATGTGAAACAGAACTGAACAGATTTACTTTTTCTTTATGCATATTTTACAAATCACTCCCTTTTTAAACTGTAGTATGAGTTGGAATGATTTCATACCTGTTATTCTGTTATTCTCTTATTTTGTATAACTATAATGATCATATAAAGGTGTGCCTTGGAAATACTTGTTTTGCATCAATCTTGATACAGGGTACTTATTATATGTTATAGTTTGGATTCCTAAAGCTTTTAGTCTACTAACCCATCATTCAAGGGTGGTTTTCACTATAAGTAATGGTTTATTTTTTGCACGGACACTATCATTTACATTTTTTTACTATGTTCAATCTGAATTTACTTAAAAAACTTCTATATTGATTCTGACTTTTTCTACATCCAACTCACAGGTTTATCATTGCTTTGAGAAAAAAGATTATTCATTTAACCATTTTTAGAAGTGAAGATAGTCAATTGTTCTGGGAATGTCATTTTCAAACCTGAGACCTGAAAAACAGGCTTGGGGCTTAACTGGTTAAAATGTTTTACCATAATGTCTAATTGTGCATTGTATTACATCGCCCTATTTTATCTAGTTTAGCTTTTCTTGTTTTGTTGTTTGTAATGGCAGAGATTAGGGATGAATAAAGTACAACTATAACCATAATCACATTAAAGAATTGCAATCCATAGAAAGGTCTGTGCCACGCAATTTCAGTAGAAACAGGAACACTTTATTGCCCTTTTGTTTTACAGCCACGACTCGCACTAGCTGCTTGCCGCTCATTCAAAATAAAAAAGATCCCCAACTTCCTCCCAGACACCCGCCCAAAAAGCCCAACCCTCAAGTAAAGGACCCAAAAGCCTTTTTGTGCTTATCGTTGGCACTGATAAAAGACTGGCATATTCCTTCAAGGTCCAGTCTGTCCAGTTACATTATTCAGCCTCGTTTGACTCATGCTTTGACTTTAACGCAAAGCATATTTGCAATAACACAGATTCTAAGAAAAGATGAGAAACTCTATACAATCAAGATCAGATTAAAATATTCTCTCACAGTTTCTTTCTTTTTATCAATCTATTGATAACCAATTAACATTAGTCTAAGAATATTTCAGTCAATACTTAAATCAATAAGCGTCTTCAGAGTTGGGTGGGCTCACTCACATTAATACATCAAAAGTAGAACAAGATTGAAAACACTTCAATCACCATGATTGAACACAGTCAATCATAACAAAAATCATCTCTCTTCAGTGCTTGGCATCTTTTGTCAAAAAGCACAATAATAAACACGTGAAATACAAAATATAATAGCAAAATATATGTTTCAAAAATAAGATCTTTTATCATTTATCACTCAGTTAATCTCATTCATCAAACACAAATTCTAAATCAGTTTACATCTCAAAGATTTACTTCAAGGCAATTACTTATTAAAAACACAATTAGAATTTAGGATTATAAGAAATCCAATTGAGGTATAAAATCAGAATCATGAGAGATCCAGCTAAGGTTCCTAGTTAAGGTATAAATTCACAGTGATGAATCGATCAATCTGTAATCTGTAAAGTTACAGTGTCCTCAATCTTTAACATTACTTTACGTTTACTTCATTACGCTTTATTCAAGAGTAAGGCACTTAGTGATACATATATTTCATTCAAATACATTTGTTCAAAATCTGAAAAGGAAGAATCAGACATTTTATTTGTATAACAACCTGAAAGGAAAAATCAGACATTTGTTCTTTAATTCAGAGTATCAACTGTAATCAATTATCAAAACATCTGTTCTTTATTCAGAATATCAACTGTAATCAATTATCAAAACATCTGTTCTTTATTCAGTGTATCAACTGTAATCAATTATCAAAACATCTGTTTTTTATTCAGAATATCAACTTTAAACAACATCTCAATCGCTGAATGGAGGTACCCATGGGTCAGAAACCGCGATGGAGACCCAGGGATCTGGAAGCTCAGCGTTGTACATCAATATTGTGTCATTTACAGTCGAATGCCCCACTAGCCTTTGTGGGGCCTGGAGGGCGGTCTTGGCAACCCTTCGCACGGCTAATTTAACTACAGTGATCAAACAGATCACTAGGATTAGCACAACCAAGATAAACACTGAAACAGTAACAACAAATTTAACCAACCCCGCTCCCCAGGATCCAAAGGTTCCACTTAATTCCCCAAATGTAAACCCATGAGTTTCATGCAATTATTTTATTCCCCTAGCAGTATCATGAGCCATATCCATAACTTCAGGTGTGGCATCAGAAATGAAAGAACAGGGGGGCACATCACCTTGCATGTGCCCCCCTGGGCAGCTAAGAGGAGATCAAGCGCCATGCGATTCTGTAGTGCTACTGTCCTAACTTCCTGCAATTCTTTGTGTTCAGCTAACATCGTTGTAGTAGATACATTTAGATGGTGTTCTACAACTTTGGACAGTGCCACAATTTCCTGCTGAGTAACATAAATACCGTACCAAGGCAAAAATAGGCTAGCTATCTGTTGTCCTTGTGTAATTGACCTGCTG